CTCTAGCACATTTCGGCGTCATCTGCAACTGTGCGACTTCCAAGAAAATGCAGCGCTGCTGCTGCCAATGCTGCTGTTCATGCATTCCGGCAGTGCGAGCCAGCGTGACAGCCTAGACCTGATCTATTTTGGTCTGGCAGGCAGGCTGCCAGCTACTTTGCCGGCTGCACATGCAAAATTGTGGGCCCGTCTCCGGAGCGTCCCCTCCCCTTATCCACAAGCAAAATTAAACAAACAATTTGTAGGTGTGGCTGTTGATGGTGGCCCGACATGGCTTGGCCTGATACTCTGCCCTCTTACCGGCTGCCAATTGCCAGTTGGCAGTTGCCTGTTGCCCTGACGTTGTGTTGATGATGGTCGTTCTGGTAGATGGAGCGGAAATGTGCCGTTGACTCGAATGCAATAAATATTCGCATACAAAAGTTCAAAGATTTCCAGCAGGCGTAGCATGCATGACAATGAGGAATTCTATGTCAAGCACTTGATCTCTGGAGAAACCGATGCAATTGCAATTTATTTATTTATAAGCTCAATGCTCTGCCCAGAATGAATGCTATATATTGATTTCTTCGAACAGCTACGCTTAAAAAACAAATTTGAGAGATATTTGGGCTCACTTTTCATTTATTTGAAAAATAAAAGGGAATACTTGTATTGAGCATTTTCAGCAAGTAATGCTTTAAAGAAAGGCACTCAATAAATTAGTTAAGCAATGAATTAGATAATTGAAATAATGCCATATCTTAGTACAACCTCTTATTTATCGAATTTGAATTAATGTGGTTTGATGGTACTTTTAAGCTAATACATTCCTACTCTTAAGAAAATAGTACATTATAAATGCATTTTTTATTTGAGATTTTTTTATTCCACACCTTTGAAGTAACTGTTGTAACAAACAATTAAGCATTCAAAAGCCAAATCATGTGAATATTAAATTTGAGCCTGAAATTTAGCACAGCTAATAAAAATGTACTAACTATTTATCTATTGCCTTCAGCACTTATGTAAACTTCAATAGAAATAACTTTATTAGCAACCCTTTGGCATTTTCACCAATTTTGTTTCGTCGGCTTACACGGCGTATAATTAATATTTTTGCCTGCGGGCGCTTTGATCAGGTGTGGCCCTTTGCAAAGCGAAAACGCACACATGTCTTAATTATTACTTGTTTTGTCCAAAATTAAAAAAAGATTTCTGCAAAAATCCAATTAATAGAAAAAATTGCTGGGTGTCAGCACATTTTGTGCCCTTTGCTCACATCGCCAACGTTTCTGTTGGTATTTTTTCCTACTGTTAATCATTTATAAGGAAAACAAACCAAATGCATGTGCTATATGTATGTATGTATGTATATGCGCAATGCCTTCGTACGCCTTTGCATGCGTAATGTATTGGGCCTCTCCGACGGTGGTCCCAATGGCCGCCAGCCCAAAAGTCCGTCGTCTGGCGGCGCCGCCTGGTCATGTACGACAAACGCCCGCACCGAATAATTGGCATAGGTTGGGCCCGACCACCTCGGGCGCCACTCATCGGGCACAAGCATAGTACAGAGTGCAGAGTACAGAGTAGAGGCATATGCATAAATGCTAATGCTGCAGCTTGTTGGCTTGATTACTCACAGAGCATACCGACTATATCCATACGAGTAGGTACATGCCTAAATATTTTATGGCGGTTTTATTTTGTTTGCATATTTTTGAATTTTTTCGGGAGTGATTTAGTTTTCAGCAACATCAAAGGCGTGGGAATGGCGCTCAAGAACACATTTCCATACGCAAAACAGTGGTGTATAAACAAGGGGGGCACTATGAGGATTTGGCTTCGCAGGTCAATCGATTGGCTTGCAAAATCTATTCTAATTGCAATTAGATTGGATAGATTTTTGAAAAATTTAGATAATGATCTGTTAAAAATTAAAATCATTTGCCTTAAGCCAAAATATCAACACAATAATACTATTATCAAGTCATAATTTGTACAACAATGTAGGAAGATTCTCGAAGTGGACTTTCGAGCTTCAATTCCATTTAGAGCGCCCGATTTCAGTGTTCGATTTTATTTTATATATGCAAACATATGATCAGCACGACGAAATAAATCAATATAGATATGTCCGTCTGAACATACGTCCATATGAGGACCTATAACTATTTAACTATTGTAGTTAAACGTTGTATGTACTTGGATCTGTACTATCCATACGTAGACCAAGTTTATTCCAAAGTATAATCGTGATTTTATTTAGCTGCCATAGCATCGATCGGCGTGAAAATCAGTGTTATATCCTACTTGTTTCTTTAAAAATACATACACTCGTATCTTAAGAAAAATATGGTGTTCAAGACTTTTGTATAGATAGTGCCTGATAATCCAAAGTTGTATAAAATCAGAATGGTTGGTATATCAAAGTTTATTTTAGTTAAAAGGCTGTATACGGGAAAGACTGAATAAGTACGGAGTAATATTCTACTAAGTAAATACATATACTTAAGTCTTTGGATGAAACAAATACCAGTTAGAAATTAAAAACTGTAGCTCTGTTTTAATCCCCCTGCGAAAAAATGTCGGAGCCCGCCACTGCATAAGACCTGCATATATATGTTTATATATTATGTTTAAATATTTATGTGGCTGACTTTTGGCAGGATACGCGCGGCACGAACAGAAAATCCTCAAAAACGGCTGAAACCTTTTGAGATTTATGAGCTTTGGCCGCAAAAAGGGTAGCAAAAAGCACGAAATAACAAAGCGAATGAGCCGCCTTTTGCCAATGGAACGGAAATTTGTCGCCAGTACAAATTGAAATCAACAACAACAACAACAATGTGAAATGCCTGAACTGACTTTGAACGCGAAATGAAAAATTGAAACGTACTACTTAAAAATAAAAAGCGTACGCACATCGTCATAATCGTTGGGGGATCTGGGCTCGGATCTGCGTCCAAGCCGATTCTTGGGGTTGGCGCGTTGGCGTCGATGATGATGATGATGGCGATGACGACGACGACGACGACGACGACAATGACAAGCGGCGACCGAACGACGAGAGCATTTGGGTCAATGACGACAACAACATCAACAACCACAACAACAACAACAACAACAAGAACAAAAACGAAACGAAGCAAAATGAAACCGAAGCGACGCTTTCGATGATTTGTATGTTCTAGAATGGGCAATCAAGCAGAAAATGTAGCCGCCAATATATCCAAAAATTAAATTTAGAAAAAAAGGAAATCATTTGAGCATGTGGCGACACCGAGTTATACAACGATACCCGCAAACACGAATCATCGATCCATTTGCGATCGAGCAGCTAACTGGGGGAGTGGGGGACTGATGAACGGACGAACTGGAAGGAAGTTGGCGTGCTATTGCCATTGTTGTTGCGGGCCTGAAAAACTCACTAACTGACTAAGTGACTGACTGACTGACGGTATGTGTGTGCCTTCCACTGATTGTGTGCTGCGAGTTCGTTTGAACAACTCTGGCGACGATCATTTTGTTCAATCGATTGTAAACGATGCGTTGCGAACGCTGCGGCTTTGATCAAATGACAAAATTGATCATTTTCTGTTTGAATGAATTTTCGTTGGTAACCCCTGGCCCCTTCCAGCCCCATATTTGTTGCTGTAGTCGTTGACAACAATTGATTTATGTTGGTCCCGCGAATTTTTTTTGTTTTGTATTGTTTGTTTTTGTTTTTTGCACAATGTGCTGTGTGGGGTCTGATGGCATGTGCATTTTTGCATCGGCTTTGGGTCGGGCGGGCAATAGCAATCAAAACAGCACAGCAACAACAACAACAACAACAAAAACAACAAGAGTAGCAATAGCAACATCAAGAGCTTGTGTTACCAATAAAATATCAGTTTTTTGTGTTGAGTCAAAAGGCGCTATAAATCAAGCGAGTGTGCGCACCTTTTTTATGTGCACGTTTGACCATTTGCCCAGAAACTGTAGAGGGTGGGGGAAGGCTACAACAAATTCAAGGGGAGTGGGGAGCGGAATGGAAAAGCAAAAACAAGCAACGGCAATTGCTCGAAAATTAGCAACAATGCGAAAACATTTTCGCGTCATAACAATTAATAGCTGGCAAAAGCAACAACAAAAAGCTAGCAAAACTATTCAAAAAAACAAAAAAAAAAAAAACGAACAAAAAAAAGAAAGAAAAATCAAAGCCAAGCGACCCACAAGCGCCGCACGAAGCAGACGCTGGACAATTGGACATTTTGGACACTTGGACAGTGGACGGTGGACATTGGAGCTTCGATGCCCAGTACTGATGCTGGTCGAGAGTTTCGAGTTCGCGTCTACTTAAATTCGATTTCACATTCCCGTAGGGGTGAAATCTTTACGTTGGGTTTTACGTCGCCGGCTTTGCGTTTTCTTTGGCATTTTTTGTTCGTCGTTGCTGTTGGTAATAACCAAAAATTAGCAAAAATTGCTAAAGTTTGACTTGCATGATTTATCTATAATTTTACATCGCCAGGCGGCAGTTGCAGTTTCTGGCTTTTGTGTGCTGTGCCTGTGCCTGCCAAACTGGGCAAATGGTTGCCACACTCGCTATCTGATAGGCTTCATACAAACACACATACACACACACACACACACCCCTGCGATCCAAAACTCAGTCACTACTCGCTTAGTATTCACTGGCAGAGTAAGCGCCCATAAGTCTGGGCTATTTTTAATGCGATTTTTAACCTAAACGCTTTGCATGCACAGCACTCAATCCCAAGTCCCAGGCCTGGCATTTGGTTTCCTCTTTCGGGGCCGCCGCTTAACACTTGCGGGTGTTGTTGTCTACATAATTTGTTGGTGTTGTTGTTGTTTTTTTTTTGCCACAACATGTAATCTGCTGTCGATGCAAAATAATAATAAAAATTTTCAAATTATTTTGTTACTCAATCTGAGGCTGTGAGCTCAGCCCAATGCTTCAAATAATTCACCCACCTCTCTATATCTCTCTCTCTCTCTCCTTCCGTTCATTGCAGTCCTGGCTATGGCAGGCAGGCTGGCCGCTGGCAACCCACAATGGAGCCTTGGTGCTGCAGCTGAGCGCCACTGAGCACGCGCACGCACTACGCGCCGCCGAATTGTATTTGTGCGTCGAATTGGGTAAGTGGGTCGGTTGCATGGTGGTTCGCATTTAAAACAGTGGTGACAAAAATCAACTAAAGCCCTGCTAGAGTGGCAATACTAATTGCTATTTTATTAAATTTGAAAACCAACCAGAATTTGATTAATGCTTAGATTAGAACTAAACAGAAATATGCATATTTCAGACATTGAAATTTCAGATTTCAACTAAAGCCGTGCTACAGCAGTAATACTAATTGATATTTTATTAAATTTTAAATTTGGAAAATAGTTGGTTGGTTGGTGTAATATTTTAAAACTACTGAGCCAGAAGTTGTTTAATGCTTAGATTAGAACTAAACAGAAATATGCATATTTCAGACATTGAAATTTCAGATTTCAACTAAAGCCGTGCTAGAGCAGTAATACTAATTGCTATTTATTGCTATTGTATTAAATTTAAAATTGGGGAACGAGTTGGGCGTGTAATTTTTCAAATGAAGTGAGCCAGAAGTTGTTTAATGCTTAGATTAGAACTAAGCAGAAATATGCATATTTCAGACATTGAAATTTCAGATTTCAACTAAAGCCGTGCTACAGCAGTAATACTAATTAATATTTATTACCTTTTATTACATTTAAAATTAGGCAAACAATTGGTTGTGTAATTTTTTAAAGAAAATGAGCCAGACATTATGTAATGCTTAAATTAGAAGAAAACAAAAATATATGTAATAAAACATAAATATCAATTATACACAACCATAGTATCAAATGAAAATACATAAATACCACAGATAACATATATATCTAGATATGCCTCCAAATTCCCACGTTAGATATATAATAATACTAGTTGTTGGCAGTTGTGTTTATGGTATACTTTTATAATTTACTATAATAGTTTACTATAAAATAAATCATTTTTAAAGCAGTAATTCAGTAAGTGTTTCATCAAGTCCAGTTAAAAAGCCCAGAAATATAAGTACTTGTACTTGCATATTAATAATTCGGTTTTTCTTCAAACATCTCTGTTACCCATCACTTATAGGTAGAAAGCAATCTTCAAATGTGTTAAAAAATCAGGCGATTAGTTCTCAATAAACGAGCTCAGCTATTCAGTTCTGAAAAAAACAATACTTAAAAACTTAATAACTTCTGATCAAACGCGTTTTTGTGAAAGTAGAGCTCTTATACTAGTAAGTATGTATATCTATAGCAGCTTTTGATTTTTGTCACGCTTAGATGCAGAATCCAGCCACTGTGCCTCGTAACTAATCCACAGATAGACAGTCAGTCAATAATGGCCACTAATTATTGCAGGCGACACCGAGGCAGCCGCAACAGTTGGTTTGAAGCTGTGCGCTGTTTGGCGCAACGCGTCGCAGCAAGAGTCCGCGAGTGTACAGAGTCGTTGCATCGACTACAAAGATCCGAAGACATTGCCACTGAGCGTGGTGCAGCTGGAGCAAATGTTGGGCAGCTCCTCAGTGGGTGATGGCAGCAGCGGGGGCGGCGGCGAGTTGCCGCAGCTGCTGCAGAATTTATTGGTTAGTGTGGAGCGCAGCATTGAGCGAGTCTCTTTGAATGAGCTGCAAATGCCAATTGCCAGCATGCAGCCGTGTGACGAGCTCGAGCCTAATACCAACAGCAATAATAGCAGCAATAATAACAACAACAACAGTAACAGCAACAGCAACAGCAACAACAACCACAATATCAGTAACATTAACAGCGGCATTGGCTCGCCAAAGTGCGCGCTGAGACGCAGCGATTTAATTACCAAAAATAAATTGTTCAACAATCGTTACATGCTGCGACGCCTCACAAATCGTCAGGATAGCATGAACTCCACCTCCTCTGGCAACAGTTGCAGCAGTAATGGGAGCAGCAGCAGCAGCAGCCACAGCAGCCACAGCAGCCACAGCAGCAGTGCTGGCGAGGAGTTGCGCACTCACAACCATAACCACATCAACAACAAGAACAACAACAGAAATAACAACAATACCGAAACTACCAGCAATATTGAAAAATCGACATCGCCAGCCTTGCCGCTCTTCTGTCTGGGAAATTCTTTTCCACACATCGACAGCGACGAGGAGGCAGCGGATGGAAGCAGCAGCAGCCATAAAAGCCAAACAACAGGTAAGTTGCATTACGCATACGCCTCATTGGCCACGCGTTGCATGTGGCACGTTTTCAGCTTTCAGTTGAAGGATTTCTGTTGCACTCGTTTGCTTTTTTATGCCATTGCATAAAAGCAAGGCATTTCGCACACACTCTGGCTATGCAAAAACGGCCATAAATGCACAAATTACTGAAATGCACTTAAATGCGCACGCTTTGCTTTTCGCCTCTTGGTTGCATTGCAAAACATGCTGTTGTGCCCCACTCCAGTCGCTTATCTTGAGATTTCTGGGCGGCGTTCGCCTTATTTGTTTTGAGCCGTGCCGCCTCCATCTCATGCAAATCTCGGCAAAGCACATACAAGTATTCAATTAAACGCCCCGCAACCAAAAAAAAGGAAGGAAAAGACCAAATAAATACAAATCTTTTATTAGCTCAACAAAATGTTGCATTCGCTTTAAATGGCGCCTACAAGTTGAAAATAATAAAAAGATGACGGCTGGCAAATTTAGCGCTAATTTAATTGTAAATAATTGTCTAAGCATTCTTATTCCGCGAGCACTTTATTCAATTAATTGCACATGCTTGTAAGATATTTCGTGGAAATACTTGTATTTCATAGAAATTCAGAGGAAAACAACAGCCTCTTAATGATAACAAAAATATTGAAGTTTAAAGCAATTAAATGCTTCGAGTACAATTATTACTGTAATTTAAAATTCAATAATTATGAAAGTAAAAAAATAATTCTTATTTAGTTTTTCGCTTAATTCCTAAATGTATTATTAGTTATTGATAGAGTCTGTGATAATTGAAAACGACCGACATAATATTTATTACTTATGGGACTAGTAAGTGTATAACTCCTCTGAGTTAGTAGTGCTGTAATAGATCAGAGGTTTGTAGCGGCCAACAGAGATGTTATATAGTATGATCAGATAGAAATGAGAAACGATATGGCCAGTCCAGTCTAACTGTTTCTTTCAGTTATTGGAATCTTGTTCGTGTAGATAATTTGTCGGTTATACAGTTTCAGTCAGATCGGACAATTTCTGGCATATCAGAAGCAGTAGCTGTCATACAAGTATAATATATAACCCAGCTTTAGAACCTTTTATTTGGAATCAATTAAAAGCAGCATTATCGTGTTTTCTCATCGTCAAATTCTGCTGTGAAGAAATTTTCTCTAAGACTCAAACGGGATTGGTACTTTATGTTCCTCAACAAACGCTTGACTCACCCTTCGATCCAAATAGTTTCAAATCATTGTTCAGACTCTAATGTCAAATTGTGCAACTAGTCTCTATAATACTATATGTGTGCGCGCTTGCGTTACTATTTGATGCGCCTACGATGCAGGACACAGACTTTGTTCTGGACGTGCATTATTTTAAACACGGTTCCGCTGGTAAGTCCGGTATTTGCACAGAACTGCATCCATGCATATATTGTCACTATCAACTGGCCAGGTCTTGAACATTGACGATTTTTTCTACCACGTGAGACTACTTGTTGAGTTTGGTAGCTTCCGTAGAATCGTGCCCTATATTGTTGTGTTGGTGGGCTGCGATGGGGTGTACGCCGCACTGTGCACTTTCTTATTTCGATATCTGTATCGACGTGACGTTTATCACATCAGTTTGGTGAGTCTGTCAAGCAGTCAGATTATTTACGCGCAGTCACTATGAGGTCTATTTTCAGATGGTGTTAATATTGTTCTTTACATGTATCACGAAGCTGATTATCGGCACCATTGGTTCCTTTACCTACCCAATAGCTCTGAGTGTTATAAAATATTTTGGGACCGATCGGATGCAGTACTATGAAAGGAAATATCGATGCTGCGGTCTTCATGGCCCCGAAGACTACATAAAGTTGAACCACTCCATCCCTTCCTCCTGTTTTGTAGAAGGCCGCAGCTTGAATAGATCTGGTTGCTTAGAAGTCCGAACCTGGTCAGTTATGACGCTCTTCTTCACTCGCCGATATGTGCATACGGCCATCATCGAGGGAATTGTCTTGTGCCTTCAAAGAATGCTGTACAAGCGTCTATTACGCCGGCAGGTTGACTTCGAGTGACTGGAGCAGCGCTCAGAACGCTCAGATCGCTGCCGCCGCCCACTGGATAGCGAAAAATTGGTCATAAAGCGAAATGGCTTGGTTGGCTCAATAGACATACGAGAAACCATTACCAGTCGGTACACAATGCGAGCCGCAACAACAATGTTCGGCCCACTGCATCCGTCTTTAACCGTTTGTTAACCGCAAAATATTGTTTACTCGTTGCTCACCCGACTCGGTCTTTGCGCAGTACCAACAATTTTGGCCAGCCAGCCAGCCAGCCAGCCAGCCAGCCAGCTAGCCGTCAAATGCCTTTTAATTTGTCAAAGCCTAAAATATGAAAATTAAACTGAAACCAAACCAAACCGAACCGAACCACAGCACACCACACCACACCACACCAAGACAAAGTATTTTCGCATACCACAGCCGACCCCAAAACCAAAGCAAATACAAAAGCCAGCCCAACCGAGCCAAGAGCATTAAGTGTGGGTGCCATTTGCATGCGTCCATAAATCAGCTAACAAATGCGGGGGCAAAACTGCGCGTATTGAGTTACACTGGCCAACAGGTGTGCACCACAAATTCTGTGCGACTGCTCCAGCAATGGTTGCAGCTTTTCCAGTTGCAGCAGCAGACGCTGCAATGTGTCACATTTATCACGGGAATTGTCGCAAGGCCTTTCCCAGCTGCCGCGGCTAGAGATGAGCGCGTGACAAACATTTCATTACAAGTTTAGTGAGATGCAGTCTACAGATGCTACGATGATAGTGAGACTTTTTCGACTTAAATCGACTCAGCCTCTGAGACAAATTTTTGGTTATCAGTCAACTTAGCGAGTCCTTGACCTCACATGGCTATGAGTTGGAGGTACAAGTATAGCGGCCCAGAATGGTTTATAACATTTGGGAGACTTACACCAAAAGGGACCAAAACACCAAATGTTTTACTTTTGAATTAATTTAAATTTTATTCGAGTTCATTTTTTGATTTGTTTATTTTATTATTATTATTTTAATTTATTGTTAGTTTAATTTTTTCCGATATTTTTTCATACTTTTTTTTTGTTAATTCGTTAGTTCTTATAACGGCTCTGCAAATTCCCCCACCATGTCAGAGATTCGGACTATCAGATTTTCTTGTTTTTATATGGGCCTCTTTTTTTCTTCTCAGTTATTTTATTTAAGTTCTCTTTTGTCTTTTTAACATTGATAGCTTTATTTGTCGATAAATAAATATTTCAGTAGTATTTCCATTCCATTTCCATGCATTTCATCGAAGTTTTTGGGCAATTTCTTTTTTAAAATTTCACTTTTTTGAATGTACTTTCGCATGAACTTAGGCTGGAAAACATATTCATCGAAGTCAGCACAACACTTTTTGAAAGATAGAGATAATCAATTATCGCCATAAGCTTGTTTTATCAAATGAAACGCTTTGAAAAATCTTTATTTCAAAACACAACTTAATATTTTGATCGGCATTTTTGTACCGATTGTTCAGTAAGTAACACTCCCTTTTTAATAACTCCGCTTCTAGTAGAGCAAGTGCAAATTTTAGTGGAAGTCAGTAAGAGGAATACGTTTCCAACCAACAAATCACAATCTGCCTTTCATCACATCAGCTTAGTACTCAGTATTACAAGAAAAATAGGCGAAAACTGAGTGTTTTGACGGTAATTTTGAAAACGATTATAACTCTCGTATATACCCATTACCTCACCATGGCAGTTTTAATCAAAATCAGATGATATGGTTTCTTTTTACTTCACCCACTTTATTAAATATTTTCAATCACTGACTGCAATAATACTTGCACCTCTTATGACTCGAAGACTTGGGACACTTTTGAGTCTAAATATGAAGTTCGTTGTTTGAATTAAACATACGAATATCACGTGTTTTTAGTTACTAAAGTAATTTCCGTCGCTATTCGAAGCACCCCACACCGGGAAAGTGCGCAGCAGATTTATGGCTAACTGGTTTGTCCAAAAGTCTGAGGCGCATGGACGCGTGTGGGCACTGATTGCGCTTGTAGCTGTCGCCAAATTAATCAAATGGCATTATTATGCAAACAAAATCCTTCTCCAGCTGAACTAGTTTCTCAAGGTTTCGCGCTGACGTTTAAAATGCAATTAACCCATATTTTTTGTGTCTTGTGCCTTTCTTACAGACCACAACAACGGCAATGCCGACACGAATGGCGATGAGTGTGAGGCAAAGTTGCTGCCCGCCAGCTCCATCAATGAACTGCCCGAGAAGTTGCTGACCAGTGGCGTCTATTTGCCAGGTGAGTTACACACATGGATGAGGTGACAAATAGCAGGCATAAACTTTCCATTTTGCCGCTATGCATAATTACCGGGACAGTAGTTACAGTGAAAGCTCCATTGGGCGGACCTTAATTGATTCAGAAATTGTGTTCATTTCTAAATAACTACGATAATATAAAAATATTTAAATTTATACCCAAAAATGTGGACATTACTTATTAATATTGTATTATAAGTTTTAATTACTTAATCTGCAATCGGTATTAAAATAGATAGATATTTTTAAATTCAAATTCTACTATGAAGCAAATATTTTTAATAGCAGGCATAAACTTTCCATTTTGCCGCTATGCATAATTACCGGGACAGTAGTTACAGTGAAAGCTCCTTTGGGCGGACCTAAAGTGATTCAGAAATTGTGTTCATTTCTACTACGAAATAACTACGAAATTTTTAAAAATATTTAAATTTAAAGAAATACCCAAAAATATGGACATAATATGTTTTAATTACTTAATCTGTCATCGGTATTAAAATAGCGTATTTTTCGATCCGTTACAGTGGTCTGCAGGGATATTTCCAATTTAAAATTGTAATATCAAGCAAATATTTTGTAAATATCTGCAACTTACAGTTACTTTAGGTAGAAATAATGGGCGTTCCGACTTTTTCCGACTTTTACTAAAAATCTGTCTCCTTTCAAGTGCTCTCACTGTCCACACTCAAAAAAGATGCATAATTCTAGACTTTCACTCGAAATTTGCTTATAAATTGCCAGCAAGTCCGAAATTGATTTTCGCCTTGCACGCCCATCAAGACAATTTCCTGGAGAAATGCAATCCAAGACGCCAAGACCAACACCAACCAGTCTAGAGACGCTTTTCAATTTTCAATTAATTCAACAAAATCGAAAAAACAACTGTCGGCAATTTTCGCACATTTTCACACATTATCAGGCCAATTTATTGGCGACGACCACCCAGTGTGTATTTCTAACCAATACCCATAATAATAATAAAGACAACAACAACAACAACAACGTACACTTCCATTACAGGAACACGCACCCTCAAAGGCGACCCACTTGTAAGTGTGGATGCGGCTTGTGTTGTTGCCGCCGGCTTGAATTGCTACGAGATTGCCACAGTTTTGCTCTACTACAGCACCATACCGGAACGCAGGTGAGTGGGGCATACCATACGTATAATCGTGCTTATTTCGAATAAGAGGTGTTGGGGGAAAGGGGGAAAGGGGGCCCCGTCTCAATCAGCAGTTTAATGTCAAAGCAAAAACGCATGGGAATGGGCGCACAAGATGAGCGAAAAGAACGGGCAGGCAGCGAGGCATTTCAATTTGTCTGGCAAGAGTTCATAGACTCACAACAAGCAGCCCATCCATATTTAGTTATGCAAATGTGCAGTTAATGCTGGACAAGACGCTGGGAACGTTGGGAGCGTTGGGAACGTCGCTGCACTTAAGCCTTTAAGACGTTATGGGGCCTCAGCCAACAGTCGCAGCCAACAGTCTCAGTCTCAGTCAAAGCCTTTCGATGCCATCGTCGTTGTCTGCCCATCTGTCTGGCAGTCGCACAGAATGCATGTCAGTCAATTTGCCACTTTGGCTAAAAGGAAGCATGCAACAGCAACAGCACCAGCACCAGCAACAACAACAACAACAACACGTACATTGCTGCACTTGCATTGTGCTGAGAACTTTGGCATAGAAAATAGAACAAAAGCCTGAGCTAAAAGTCGATAATTTAAAATTCTAGGCAGAGCCACAGTTGCGGTCTTTGGCATTGCAGACACGTTGTTCTTTTTGTTTTTGTTTTTGTTTTTGGTTTTGGTTTTGTTATTCGTTATTCGTTATTGTTGTTGGGGTAGCGGGTGCACGACAATGCGGCTTCCCTTTGTACAGTCTGACCTCGCATCACGTGAATCATCACGGACGCGGAATTTCCAGCCCATGGTGTAGCACACAACAGTAATATTATAGCTGATTTGAAATTATTATAATTGGCTGCTTCGATCGAGCTGAACAATTTGTTAACTCGAGTAATTCGTACAAATTTTCAAAAAACTGCATTACATTTTGAATTCTCATAATATTAAATAATCAGCAGTAAAGCCAGATCACAATAATCATATTTTTTTCACACGATTACTTTAATTTCAATTCATAAATTAAAGAGCTATTTAATTAGTCAACATACTGTTTTTTTTTTTTTTTTTGTTCATGATATTTTAAATAATTTTAACAATTTGTGGCCTTAGGTGTCTTTACTCGTCAATCACTACTCCTTTGGATCAATAAAACAAATCCTTTTTCATTTGGAATGCAATTTCAAATTCCAATTTCCAAAACTTCCCCAAAAGATGTGTTCCTGCTTTTGTAAAACTTAATCAACTTTCCAAAACACCAAAAAAAGACAACATCTTAATCAATCACAGGGTCCTTCTGCAAATACCAAACGTATGTTTTGACCTTCGATTTTTTTAAATCCTTGTTATATTATTTACTTTCAGAATTACCGCTTTCAGACTTTTCATAGCCGCTTCTTCTTTTTCTGACTACCTAGGTACTTAAATAGTTTCTGATCAAATAACTCCAGGCCTTCACATTACCAATATCGAACCTACGCTGTCCAGTTTTATTATTCAAGGTGTGACTGTATTAGCCCCCCTCATGATTCCTCTATAATCTTATGCTGGAGGGCAGTTGCCGCTGGCACATTGAATGATTTTTCTAGACAGTTTCGTGACACTTTAAATTTATGATGTGAACTTTTTGTGAGGGTCCACCACACGTTTCCTGGAAATCTGTGAAATCTAAATCGACATGTGTTCACCATCAGTGTCGGGTCTAGGCTCTAGAGTTCTGTTTTGTTACGGTTTGCCATTAAGGCCGAGAACTCGTACGCTGGTCGGCATGTTAATTGATTCAATGCCAATTGCTAAAAACGCGGCCAAATCGTGTAGAGAACTTTGGCAAACATTTGCCGAGATCTGTGGTAGCTGCACATGTAATTTTGACGCATTAAAAAGTGGCACAAGTTAATGATTTGGATGTGGCAGTGAAGTTGTAGTTGGAGTTCGGCCGGAAAGCTGGAAAGCCACTCGAGCATTCGAGCATTCGAGCTCTGCAGCCATTGACATTATTTGCAGCAAAAGTATTAAGTAGAGAGAAGCGTTTGTTTGTCGACATGTGTTAGGTATTCATTAGTTAACCGACGACTGGCTGCTGCTATCTGCTTGTTGGCTGTTGTCCAAACATTCAATATTTGAGTTTTGTAAAGTTTCTCCAGTTGCACTGGCAGTGGCAGGTGGGGCAATGTCAACAGCAGAGATGTTGCTGGACACTTACATCACACATCTCGCATCTTACATCTGATTGCCAGCGAGGCTGACCCCAACGTGCTTAAGCATCGCTATAACGACTATATACGAGTATGTATATTACATATGCTTATACATACATACATACATACATACTACACATGTACATATGTGTGTATGTGCGCGCAATTAAATGTGGTTTTATGAGCTGCGCTTCTTGGAATCTTGTCAGGTACATGAATATGCATGCCTGCGCATAAAGAAAAGCTCGAATTACACACGGGCGGGCGGTGGACTCATGTTGCACTTTAAATTTTAAATGCCAAATGGTTTTTTCCTTTATTGCCAGCCGGCATTAAACTCAAAAGCAACAACAGCAGCAGCAGCAGAAAAATTACTAAGCTGACATTGCGTGCAAAACTTGCCTGGGCGAGGGTGGGAACAGAATCTTGGCCTGGGAATGCGCACATTTACAGTTACATTCTGGTAGTTGGGAAGCAACAGCAATCGTGTGTGGTACGTACACTCCACTCCAAGAAAGAAAACTCATCATATTCTGAGAAAATTTATTTCAAATTCATTGACGAAAGTTAGGGAGATTATTCCATTATTCCAAATTTTGTAAACTTTGTACTACTTTGGTAGAGCGGTTTACTAATTTAGTGCAAATGTAATGCAAATACAAGTACAACACACAGAAGGATTCGTGGCAGACAGCCAAAAGAATATAAATTCCGTGTCAGTATTGCGAGATGAATCGATATAGCCATACCCTTTTGACTGTCAGTCCGTTGCTTTGATTAATCCCTATTCTGCACACAAACACACTCAGTAACGCATAGATACATTCCCGATATATAAATAAATATTATTGAAATGGTACGAATACATATAGCACGACTATTTTACATTCTTTATTAAATATAGTTACTTTTAAATTAATTTAAGAAATAGTTTATAATTGATTGTCTTTTTTTTTGGGAGAGGGTACTTAAGAGGGTCTGCTCAAGTCTAGCATTCCATTCTTGTTTTAAAATCTTTCTGATCCCGGTCAATAATTTACATTTTAAGTGGACAAAATAAAATATGGGTCTGTAATTGTTTCTTGTTTGAGTAGAACATATATATGTACATATATATATATATATAGTAGAATTATATATTTTAATTATTATTTCACTGCCCTGCGCAGAATTGGCTGCGAAATGTGATGATTTCAAGTTAATATAACTATTTTACTAATATTGTAAATATTTAAAGATCGGAGCAATCCTAACAGGACATAAGTAGCCCAATCGGAGCAGGAATTTCGTAAAGTCCTCCCTTTTTGTCGTGTATAGGCAGCTTGTGTTTTACCAACTTCAGTATTTTTCAATTTACTCTAATAAATGAAAAGGAGAATATTTTAATATTTTTTAGAATATTTTTTATTTAATCACCCAGAAAATAATTGTAATAAATTTTATTTTTTTATTCCCAATAATGAAACTGTGAAGTATTTAAAATTAAATTCCACTGTTATCTTTACCATTTGCAGCTGTAAATTTATATTTCGTTATTAAATTATTTCTGTATCTGCTAGAAGATATTTCCCAACAACAACTCTCTGAAACATACCAAGCATTAATTATTTATTCGCTCAGTCATGATCAAACCTATCACAAGTATTAAGTAGTGTCCTATGTTTCCCACTTTTAGTTGCAGGTTTTTGTTCGGTCAAATTTTGGAATGCTATTTAACTGTTACTGTAGGCAGAGCAACAAAAACAGAGTGTGTGTGTTTGTGGTTGTCTGGCAGGTGGCACAGATTCTTAGTCTTTTGGTTGCTTCTAGCAGCTGAAGACTAGAAGTTGCAATTTGCCATTTGCCTTTGCGTTGATTAAAAGAGGCCACCAAGTTGTCATTTCTTGATTTACCTTAAGTTAGTGGCCATTTGTTGTGGCGGCTTGAACTGAACTGCCGCCTATTTGGTAGTCGCTGCGTAGCATGGACTTGGCGACGGGAAACTGTTAAGACCAAGTGCAGAGGCCGCTTATTGCCAATTAAGTTGAACTTGTTTTGGGCGTTGCCCAAGCGTTAGTGCCGCCGCCACCGCCACCTGCCGCATGCCACAGCTTGCCATTTGCCACTTGTTGTGCATGTGTTCTGCTGCCTTAGCCCAGGAAACCGCTCACCACCAGCACCCAGTGTGGTGCAGTTTGGTGGGCTACCTAATGCAGCGCGCCACATTTTACACCACACCACACCACAATTGTTGACGTTATTTATGCGGCTTGACCGTGCACTTCTATGCAGAAAGAAACAAAAAAAAAAAAAAAAACACTAAAACTAAGCTATGCGCATTTTGTTATTACAGCCAAACAACTGCAGCAACAGATGGCCATAAAAGCTACGCCAACACAACAGCAACAACAGCAACAACATCGCAGCAACAGCAACAGCAACCCGCCCAGCAAACATTTACCATTTTAATTGCCATCGAGAAATCGCAACATTTATGCGTAATCGACTTAATTTGCCAAAGCCTCAAATTGTTAAGCAAGCAAATCGGTTATTGTGAAATTTTGGTCGTTTGTCTCGAACGGAATTTGTTGCAATTGTGCAACGAGCGGCAGCCGCAGCCGCAGCAGCAGCAACAGCAACAAGAAAAGCAGAACGGCATCAGCAACATCAACATCAACAGCAACAACAAGGAATACAACGGCAACTTGGTAAGTTCACAGTTTGACCTTTTAGCGATTGCACAAAATGAAATCATTAGGGCTGAGGTTGACGCCCCAAACGGTGGTAGCAACAGTAACAGCAACAACAACATAACACCCAATTAACCCGATTTACATGGCCAAAAAGCCAAAGAACTTGGCTACTAATGACTCTACTACGACCTACTACCCAACAGGAGCAACAACAGCAACAACAGCAACAACAGCAACAGCAGCAACGAAAACATCGATCCACAGCTACAGCCGCGGCAGCAACATTGACGCCCCCATCGTCACCGCATTCAGTTAAATTCATTAGCATCGACGAAGTCACGACAAGTGTTGCGCCATCGCAGCTGCCGAGCAGCGTGAGCTTCAGCGTGAACGGCTCGCGCCTGCGCAGCGGCCTGCATCATCACGATGCGCGGAAATGGCGCGAGTTCTTCGTCCAACTGGAGGCGTTCGAACGGCAATGCAGTGCGGCCGGTCAGCGTTTGGTTAGCGCATTGAGCGATATACGCGCCGCCGATTTGCAGGGACTGCCGACCCGTCGACAGTTGTACGGACAGCATCGTGCATTGAGCCGTGCCCTCATGGATTCTGAATTGCATAATTTGCGCAAGCGTGGCGCGCTCATGCTGACACGTCTGCAGGAAATGGCCAGAGCGATCAACTCTGGCCACAATGTCAGCCACACAGCAGCAACGGCAACGGCAACAGCAACATCAACATCAACAACGACGACTGTTAACAACGCTAGTAATTACAGCTTTAATACAACAGCCCCGACAATAACGACGACGACGACGACGACTTCGACAACAGCAGCATCAGCAGCATCAGCAGCAGCAACAACATCGTCTCTGACGTCAGCGGGCAGCGGCAACGCAGACGCCGCCCTGGGTCTGCGCAAAGTGACGTTACTGTTCAATGAGGTCGACCGCGCCGCCCAGCGTCTCGAGCAGCTTACCGAGCAGCGACGCGAGCGTTTGCGGGAGCTGACGCGTCAGCGTGCACTGGAGGATGAAATTAATGAGGTGAGTGTACTCCTACGTTGCTCAGGGATGGGAAACGAATCTATCCGACAAATCCTAATTTAAGCCCGATTTGGGAATCCCTCCCTAACTAATGTTTAAAACAAACCAATACGACTATATTAAAGCTGCGACATTGATAACTACAAAAGTGTATGACTTAAAACGTTCTTTCTACAAATCTGTCGAATAGGGATACCCACATTTTTTGCCTCAAACAGACTATAGGCATTCAAATCCTTTCAACTACAGTTTAACAAAATAGCGCACAATTAGCTCCGTTCTTGGCAGAAAAGATAATCTTTCATCAATGGATTGTACTTTCTCCTAAACATTTTTAATCATTGATTTAAGTACATAAGAGTTTCGGATCTGTAGACTCCGATTCTTGGAGCTACACTTTTTTATACACGCGTCATATTCTATTTTCTTCAATATAAGCACTTACATACATCATAGTAACACCCGTTTTGGCTCAATTAATCAAACAATTTCAATACGAAATCACACCAGAGAATACTCTATTTAAACAAAATAATAATAATAATCACAAAATTTTCAAATTTCCAAAATTATTGAGTTTTGATAGTTATTTTGGAATTCATGATCCATAATGGAAAGGCAGCAGAGTCAAATTTTACCAACACTCATGAAAGAAGAATCACAGATCTGTCATTTATTAACTCTATGACCTACTGAAAATGTTATATTTATTCCTAACCATAACATATGTACTATACATATATCTATTTAAAAATACATTAGAGGTATTCCAATTTAAAAAAGTTGAAGAATACCGCAAGAAAATGCTGCAAATGTTTTGTTGTGTACTCTTTATAGATAGGGTAACCAAATTACTTTCTGCAAATTCGAGCAAATTCAAACTCAGGTTTTTTTTGTTTTCATACTTTGTATGGAGCAGATGTTCGATAGTTTACTTCCGGGAAAACTACGTTTATTAAGAACAGAGTTGATTAGAAATGGTTGGTAATTGAGAGATTGAGAGATGAAACATAAATTGAGTTTATCGAGCTTTCCAATTGTAATTACACTAAAAATATTTCACAACTTGTCATCCCTGGAGACGTTTATCCATGGTTGCCAATGAGAGAGTTTTGTAGCTTTTTTAGCTTACAGTTAGCAATTTTTCATGCTTGTCAGCTGGCAAGTGAGGCAGCGAACCAGTTGCCCGTTGTCCGGCTGCAGATACAAAATTTGTTTTTAAGTGATTATGCCAACATCAGCAACGGCAACAACAACAACAACAACAACGACGACGACAACATGCACAGACATGCCGCAGGAAATGCAAAATGCCAACTGCCAAATGTATCTGCCAGATACGAGTACACACACGCGCTTGACATTGTTAATTGAATATGTATTGCATTTAGTGTTGGCTCTTATTAATTTATTACGCGCATCCGCTCACTGTCCCAATGCCAACGCCGACAAGGAGCAACAGAAACAGCAGAAACTCTTCTCGAGCATTAGAGTCACGCCATATTAACGCTGACGAATTGAAAGCCAACGATTTTATGGCAGGCCCGTGGTCAGCACTAACACCCATTGCACAGTGGCTCATTCTTATTTCTCTGCTAGCAAAAATTGAAAAAAAAAAATATATAAAAAGTATTACACTTTTGAGACAATTTAATTTTCATCCATTTAATCTCCACAATTTGGGCCTACAAGTATTTTACAAAAACTCTGATAAAGTATTTCTAAAGAGATTGGTTCTAATAGTATTTAAATATTTATTAGAAAACCAACAACTTATCGCGATCTGGATTATAAATGAGCAAGGCAAATTAAATGAATAATATCCGCTGATTAACAGTATACCTCAGGTTACGATCATTCAACGATTTGGCTTCTACAAGTATTCCTGCAATGTGTAATTTCTTTAAATTAGAATATTCTGATTTTTAGGCTCCACCAAAAAGCATTCACACTTTTTCGGGCCTGGCGTAGCTCAACGAGCTAACAAGAGTCCCGCAATGTGAATTCGTTCCTGGGTACAGGGAAAACTCCCTTAATGGACAACTCTTTAATCCGGACACTCTCTTCGGCGGACACTTTTTCTAAAACATTTGATCGGTGTATAAAGTATTTAAGTATCCCCTTAAGCAGACACTCCCCTTGGGCGGACAAAAATTGGCCGACCTCGAGTGTCCGGCCAATAGAGTTTTCACTGTATATGACTCGGTTCGAATAATGGCGCCTACCATCATCGCATAAAAAGCATGACTTCAATTATTTGCAGCTAAAAAATTCTGTATGAGTGGTCTCGAATCTATAAAAAACTCAAAAACTTTTTCGCGTTGGCAACTCCGTGACGTACAGCCGTCAAATTAATAAATCAAAAACATTCATTCGCAGTAAGCTAGAATACCCTATTATCCTTTCAGTATTACAGGTATACCCTGTAATAAGTAAATTTAATAAGAAACTAAGAAAATGAAAATAAAGTGAAAGCCTTGATAGCAGGAACATATCAGCTCAACGGCTATATTTTCTAGAAGACCATTAAAATGTAATATTTTTAAATTACTTTGAATAGATAGAAAAAACAAACCACATTCCGGCTATTGAAAAAATGCAGAACTACTCTTACTGTATTTTTAAAAGCTATCTATTTAGAAATACAAGTATCTAGAGATGAATATTTAAGGATTAACCTTCCTCCCAATATCTGTCAATAATAATATAGTATTTTTAAATTACTTTGAATAGATAAAACAAAAAAAAAACAACACTCCGGCTATATTTTTAAAATCCATTTATATAGATCTACTCTAGACACGACATACTTGTATGTTATGCTAGGACTCGGATTCCTCCCAAAACCTATCATAAAAATTCACTATCTCTGCCATACTGTGGTGTGGCCTATTAAGCCGTACTACTTACTAAGAATACTAGTTGTACACTGTGCAACTATGCGTTAGTCTTTCATTAGATAAGCGTTCGCTCAACTGCCCGTTCATTCACTCTGATAACATAAACAGAGGCAGCAGTGGCAGCAGCAGCAGCAGCAAAGGCAGCAATTCGAATTCAAAAGCTTTTTTCGAATGCGGCTTCTGCATCTGCAATTGCATTTACAAATCGTTGCTATTTCCTGCTTCGAACCTCATTCCATTGCCGCGATGTGCTGGGCGAGCATATTAATTGACATGTTAATGGCGCAGAGCCCTGCAGTGCCAGCGAGAGATGCGAGACAAATGCCTTTTCATTATCGCTGCCCATTTATTTTGTGTTATGCACGGCCACCAGCTACCTTTAACCCAGACGGTATGCATGTGGGCACAATTGAGCCAAAGAAGAAGCTTGAGCTGCAACAGAAACTGCAGCAGCAGCAGCAGCATCAGCACCCACAACTACGGGTATGTATCATGGCCAAGCACTTTCGTTGAGTAAATGCGTTGTCGGCCTTATCTGCGGCAGCTAATCTCGCTTAATCAGCGCCTGTGACAGTTGCAGCAACGCCCCAATGTAAAGATGCCACAGCCGGCAGCAGCAAGAGGTGGCAGCGATGCAGGAACGCTAATGCAATTTCGCTGATTAATCACAATCATTTGTTGTGGGCTTAAAGTCGCGTGAGGCAGCGAAGACGACGACGACGACGACGGCATGAATGCGTTTACATATTCGTCATACTTTCGCGCTACTATTAAGTTTTGCCATTATTATTATTATTATCATTATCATTACCTACTACATATACGAGTATGCTGTTGTTGTTGCTGCTAGTTAACAAAAAGTATGTCAAATTGCTAACACGCAGCAGCGGCAGCGGCAGAAACAGAAAATGCAACAACAACTTTTGCTGCTAGATACTGCTGGTGTTAGCTATATACAAGTACATACTACAAGTATATATGGCTCTTCAATTTCATTTAATAATTTGCGGAAATTGGCATTTAACAATTTGCCTTAGCTTGTTAACCTGGACAGCAGCAACAACAAAAAATAATGGCTACTACTCTGAACTTTTTCACACGCTTTGGCAGCCAAGTGAGTGGCCCAACCCTGTTGCTCTGACCAATTGATAAATGTTTGCCATTTTTCTTGCTTTGGCCAAGGCAAAATTGAATTTTAATTGCCGACGAAAAGTTAATGAGAAAAGTGAAAGCAAGGTTAAAGAAATTAACAAGATTTGTGCGATGATTATATTCCATTGAGAGACCAACTACTTACGAGCAAGTCCAACTGCCAGTTTTCTAATCATTGATTTGAGTGAGCATGCAAAGCACTCACTCACTCACTCCTTCCTTCATTCCTTCCTTCCTTCCTTCCTTCCTTCAGTCATTCAATCAACTCATTCAAAAGTAGTTCAAAGATAAGCCAACAAGCTGTTTGCTCAACAGTATACCAAACGTATATATATATATACTTGTAAATATATATTCACTATGTGTGTGTAAGCAACTATTTAGCCACAACATGCTGGCAATTAAAAGTGTTGACAGCTACCAATTTTGCCTTGTTTTTCATTTTGTTATTTCAAATTAAATTTATATAGTTATGCATGTATGTATTGTACGAGTATGCGAGTATGAGCGATCGAACTAATGCTCCATCCATTAGCCATTAGAGAGCGCGTTCAAACAAGGTGCGAAAAAAGATGCCGCCACCTTCAGCGTAGATCACGAATCGTGGCTTGCTGCGGCCACCGCGACATTATGATGCGATATGCGATATTGTATCTAAATTGTTGATCGCCTGCATTACTATACTTTCAACGCACGCTGCGCCCAAATCCAAGCCAAACCAAACATACATACATACATACATATGTGTAGTGTACACTGTCCGCTCCCACTTCCACTCCCACTCCCGAGCCGAGACCGCAGCCGTAGCCGACATTTGCACAAATACGGCGACGTCTGGCAGGGGATGTCAGCCTTGGGTGTTGCCGATCTGCCTGTTATAGCCAAAGAGCCCGCAGTTGACGCGTTTTGCCCGATAAATAAATAAACGGCGATGTTGTCGCGCCGGTG